GTGGTCCAATGCCTAAGCCAATACCTTCTCACTTGCTGTAATCAATAAAGTTGTGGCCTTTTCTTGCCCATTAACCTTATACACTGTGTCCGTGTGTCTTTATTTCACAAAGCGGGGATCGGGTCCTCGAACCACAAGCAAAAGTTCCTGGAAGGGGAAATGTTGCCATATGGACGTGAACAGAAGTTGGCTCATATTTCCACATTTGGTAGCTTTTCACTAGCATTGATTAAGCTGGTCGCTTCATGTATGTTCATGTTCCTTAGTGAAGCTGGAGCCACAGCATTCGCTCTGTATATGTATTTCTAGGGGTAAACTAAAACAGCTTCCCAACCCTGTTCATCCCCCAGTTTTGCAGGGACTGCAATATAGACAGGAACTGATCACCTGCCATCAGTGGTGGGTGGTGCTCATTGGGATTGACAGGGCAGAAAACAAGGAGACCAACGGTAGGTGGAGCCAGAGCCAATGACAGACAGAGCCATCTCCCAACTGGATGTGAGGCAGTAGACAAGTAGGGGCAGTACTATTTTTCTAGAAAAAAAGGTGCTTAAACTCACCATGAATGTCTCCTTTGTTCTGGGAGCCAGTGTGGTATAGTGGTTAAGAGCGGTAGTCTTGTAATCTGGGGAACCAGGTTCGCCTCTCTGCTCCTCCATATGCAGCTGCTGGGTGACCTTGGGCCAGTCACACTTCTCTGAAGTCTCTCAGCCTCACTCACCTCACAGAGTGTTTGTTGTGGGGGAGGAAGGGAAAGGAGAATGTTAGCCGCTTTGAGACTCCTTCGGGTAGTGATAAAGCGGGATATCAAATCCAAACTCTTCTCCTTCTCCTCCTCCTCCTCCTCTTATAATGGCAATGCTGCCCACCTGAGAGGTGCCAGAACTGAGTTCCAGTAAGTTCTGGCTGCTGACATCACAAAGACTCTGGTGACACTCTAAAGTGCCCCATTCTGGGTGGGGGTTGGCTGAGGATAGACAGGAGTTGGTGGGTCAATGCCCCATTTGCCCTATTCATCTATCCTCCACTGCTTCCAGAAATTTTGTGGGTTAAAAACCAGGCCATTGTGGCATGACTTACAAGACTGCTTTCGTTTCCAAAGGGCTGTGAAGTTGAGATAACTTTTTTCCCTAACAGAAGCTGTGGGGAACAGTCCTTAAATTTTTTCCAGTCTTCTTTCACCGACTCTTCTCCCTGGTCTCGGATTCTGCCAGTCATTTCCGCCAATTCCATGTAGTCAATCACCTTCATCTGCCATTCTTCCAAAGTGGGTAGATCTTGTGTCTTCCAATACTTTGCGATAAGTATTTAAGGACTATTTACAGAAATATTGTAAAATTAAGGAACTTTAGAAGGATGTTGGATAGAAATTAAGAGGTTTTTAGCTGTAATGCTCTAAGAGACATGGAAAAAAAAGGTTAACAATTGGGTAAAAGATTAATGGTAAGGATTTGCTGAACCAACAAACTGAATTGGAATACAAAGAAGGGAGGTATGAGGAGGTCTGGGGAAATAAGAGTAAGGAAGATAGGTTATGGAACATTATTGTGTTTTTAACTGTTTTATTTTGTATGTTTTTTCTTACTTTTTACTTTTTTGCTGTAATTTATATTTTTTTCTTTGTCTTCGGTATTTTTGTGAAACCTTAATAAATATCATTTAAAAAAAAAAAAAGAAGAAGCTGTGGGGAACATTTATTTCTTAATGTGCTGCAGGCATAAAGAAATTAGCCAGGGCCTGAGGACTGAAAAGGAACCCAAGAAATATCTTATAACCACTTATCATTTCACCTTAAAGAGCTCTTTTAGTTGCTCAGTTCCCTGCCCAGATACTATGGCAGAATTCGTTCCATAGTGACTCAAGGGGGGAAATGTCACATTGTGAGTCATCAGTGCCATTTAAAGAAACATCTACATTTTCCTGTGGGGCTTATCCTTATTACTTGACCTCAACCTGCTTATGTAAGAAGACAGCCTGATAAGAGGTATAATACTCTTGCCTAAATAGGGTCTCTTTAAAGAAAAATAGCTAGGTGTTTGAGTTAAGTCCTCTGCAGTGAGGAATATAGGCAACCCAAACTTCCAAATGTACTCTTTATGGGACAAGAGAAATGCCTGCACTTGTGGATGGTTATAAACAAAGAAATCTATAGTAAAGTACATGCTATAATGTTCTCCTTGCAGTGGCTCAGCTCCATTAATCCAGGTCTCCACTAGAATTGGCGCAGGTAGCAGCCTTTATTATTTGGAACCATGTTTGATCGATTATAATCAGAACTTTGTAGTAAGGGGTCACAATTGTGGTCAAAAACAACAACCCAGTTAAGGACTTTGATACCTATTTTATCAATCCAGCAAACCAGTCATCAGCTCCTTGTTATTTTCAATTCATTTTTATAAATAAATGCAATTATTCATCTGGCAGCCCCACACCTGTCTCCCCAAATATCCCCATGCGCCTTGCCCTGCTTTTAACAACCCTTCACCCTGATCCCATTCTAAACTTCACTATGACCATCACATTCCTCTATTACAGTTTGGGGAGTAGCCATTCCTGACAGCCTGCCTATGATTCTGTGCTGCTATAGCCTGCACTGGAGGAATAATAAGCCCTGCAGGTTGTAGGTGTTGCTCCTCCATTATCATTATTATTATTATTATTATTATTATTATTGCTATGACCAGGCAAGTGATGCCTTCCATCTCCCCCTGTCAGTTTTAATTTTTGGTCAGACATCGGCCAAGTCTATAATAAATTAAATTTTGGGACAACGTTAAGTAGATACTGTGCTATGCTTAAAGATACAGTACTCAGCTATACAGCTGCAAATATAATGTTTTAAGTGAGTTTTAAGTGCATTACACAAATGTGGCACTAGTTGGCAATGGTGAGCTCATGGCAAATTCAATATTTTTTCAAAACGCTTTTTTTAAAAAAGCATTTTCACAGTGTATTTTTTAAAAATATGTGTCTAGATTCCATCTGTACAGTATCATGTGGGAGTAATAAAAGTCCCATGTTCCTAAATGTTCTCTAAGTATTTTTGCTCTAATTTCTCTTGTCCATTATATAATTTCTGCTCTTTCTGTTGGGAGGCAATTGGGTCTCTGGAATGCATGTTTCTTGAGGGGTTCAGATGACGCTCCCCACCTACTGAAGGAATGCATGGGGATTCTTGCAGGGCCACATGGATCCGTCCTACCCCTTGCCAGTGCCTCATCCATCTACACATTAGGCCTGCATCTGAAGGAATTCTAAGGGCATACAGATGTTCATGCACAGAGCTGCTGCATAGCCTTCTATGATAGCTCTCAATGCACATGCATAACTGTACATCCTAGCAGAATGCGCCATTGGCAGGGTGTGTGGCTACCATGTGCATCAGTGGCAGAGGACAGCACTACCCCCCACTGCCCCACAACCAGATTTCACTCCTAGAATTTTGAAGTTCTAAAAATTGCCTGGTCTGTTTTCATGAATTATTTTTTTAATGTTCTTCTAGCTCAATGGGAATTCAAGAGGAGTACAAAAGAGGGGAAATCAAGGCTGAAGTGGTACAGTCCTGCAATACTTGCATCCTGCACTGCTGTTGATCACATAATCTAGGCCTAAGAAACCTAGATAAACTGGTATAACTCTAACTCCACCCCTTTCATTAACACAATCACTACATGGATTACTAACCTGTGCATAATGGATTTATTAAGGCAGTCAAGATAAAACGAACTTCTGTGGTTGCAATTTAATTAGGGTGTGCGTGTGTGTTTCATTGTTAGCATATTCTTAACCAAATCAGGCCTTGGAGCATGTTTCAAATAAAATATACACACAATAAACAACTGCAGATTTTTCATCTCTTCAATGAATAAATTCATTGCTAATGGAAGGCAAAGACCGAATAAATCATTCCTTAATTTAACCTTTTCACTCTGGATAAGATCAGCTAAGCTGTCACCTCCCACTTATAAGACTACATCAAGTGCAATGTGCAACTATTCTGAATTGTTTACCACTTGAAGAAAAGTACACAAACCCTTGAAAAACAGCCAGCTTTGCATGGGAAAACAGTATGGCTACAGCAGTATTGAGGAAAAGAACAGGGAAAAGAATCCCCAATATATAATTTTTGAAAAAGAATTTGTAGGCTGATAAGGCATCATCATGCATCAATGGTTACTATAATCAGTTTTGACTTGAATAAAGAACTGTGTATGATTTAGATGTGGATTTAAGGCACCCCTCGCTTCTTGTGCTTCTGTTCTAAATCATTGTTGTGGTGCCCCCTGTGGTACTGGTGCCCAGTGCAGCTGAACCAGTCATGCTACCTGCATGCAAGGCCCAGAATGCACAGTGCAATCAACAGTCTCCACTCTATGTTCCGATCCTCTTTGTCATACAGTGTGACAAATGTGTTTCCCCCCCATCTTATTTTATAGGAGGGCAACTGAGTGACAGTGACTTGCTGACGATCACCCAATTTGTCCACGCTGCTAATATGTGAACACTGTCTCAAACTAAAGTTGGACTTTGATGCCATATATATTCAATAATAATTCAATAATAATTGCCTTTTCTTCCCAAATTGACTTAACTGTTAAGGTTTCAGAGAGGAACGGAAACATTGCCCCTGAAAACTCCTTGCAAACCATGATTTGTGCTATAATCTTTCGGAGTCTATTTTACTGATGCTCCCAATTGAAGCAAATGCCAGGCTTGTCACATGCCGGTAAAGCTAATATCAATATTCAACTTTTTCCTTCTGCTGTTATTATGCTGTGTTGATGGGCTGCGCAGGTTAAGGACGAGCACAGCAAAAAGAAAGAATGAATCTCCATCCCTTCTAATAAGTCTTGGAATAGCCATTTCACTAATATTCATTCCAAAGGTGGCGCTAGCAATGAGTGGAGTCAAACAGGTATCATTTTATGATACAGAGAAAAGTTTATTGGATGCTTTTATCAGAACCCTAAATGGACTCTGATTTATGTTGAGCAATAATGCTGGCAGCGATGGAGATTTTTCTGAATGAGAATCACCTGCTTGTATATAGGTAAGATTAAACACCCACTCAGTAGAACTTCCAGATACAAATCAATATCTATATCTATATAAATGAAAAGACATTGAAGGCAAGAACTTGTGTGGATGGGTTTCTTACACAGATGAGGATTTTTTTTCAGCCCAGCGGCCAAATTTTCTCATTCACAGTCATCCCATACCTGTCAACACGATTTGACCGGGACATCCCAGAATTACAGAAGCCATACTCTGGTTTCACCTCAGATCATATAAATCTTTCAGAATTACAGAAGCCACTCCAGCTTCTGACTGGATGACCCATTTTCGGCACCAAGCTCTCCCACAAGAGCTTGGCACCAAAAGATACATGTCTTTCGCATGAAGGAAGGCACCCAATTTACAGCCTAGGGAGGGGGAGGTGGTTGGGGCGAAGGCCAGGCCACCCCCACCAGAGGAGGAGAAGCCAATGGAGAAGAGGATGATAACAAGGAAGAAGAGGAAGAGCTGGAGGTGCTCTTGTGATGCTTGCTGAGGGAGCTGCTGTCCGTAACAGAAACAGGGGGCTGGGACAGGGAAGCACCAGCTGGCTCGCAGGAAAGCACAGCACAGAAAGACGCCTGTCCCAATTTTAATTGGCAGAATATTGGAGGGTATGGTGTCCAGAGTGCAAATTCCACTGGTGGCTGCAGCTAGAGAAGAAAGTGGGTGGGCAATGGATGGGATTTCTTATCTTCATATAGTAGGCTACATTTCAGGCACACAAAAAGGGCTTGGTGTGCGAGTGAGTGCGCGTGCGCACACACACACACACACACACACACACTATCCTGCATTTGGGCAAGCAAGAGGCATTATCATGGTTTAAGGATGCAATCCAATGTGGAAAACACACTCAAAGTGGGTATACAGCAGAGCGGGAGAGGAGATGTAGCTGGGGAAGTTTGTGTCTGGGAAGATTCTCAATGACTAGATAAAGGGACCTGGGGACCATATTTAGCCTAAGGGCCTGAAGTTCTCACACCCCTGCCTTAAAGAAAAGCATACTGCATGGGTGGTCCGAGTCCAAAGCAGTTGTGTTCAGTTAAACCTATAGATGAAAAAAACGAGGCCCCTCATATCCTACCCCATCCCTTAATGTCATATTGTGCTATACTATAGCGTGATGAACAAACAAAATCCAAACCGTGATTCTCTTGATTCTCAGTAGCTGGGTTCACCAGGGGCAGGAAGCAGATTTAGTCCGCACTCTGTTCCCAAGGGACCCGTTTACTTTCTGCTGTGTGCATGTTAGGTATCACTCATTCCCATGGAGAAATCAATTCTTGGTTATGGTGTGTGTGTGTGTATGTATGTATGGGGGGGGGGGTTACTCACAACCCTGACAGTAGGTGACCAGGAAACACATGCAATGGAAACAGTATGCATCTTCTCCATCCTAAAGTCCAGGACTATGAGAGAGGGACAATGTGTCTCTGTCATCCACAACACACACAAAACAGGGATTAGTTTCAAGAAGCAGGAAGCGGACAATGAGGAGTCTGGAGGGGATAACCATTCCATAGTTCCTCTGGGCCTAGTCTGTAGGCCGTATTCAGTTTGAGGAACCAACTGTAGGTTGGGGGAAGCATGCCAGGCCCCAGCTCTTTGCTTTCCCAGTGTAAATGGCCTCTGTGATGGATGGGAGGGCTGGGTGTCAGGCAAAGGAAAGAATGGGGAGCTCTCCATTCCTCTCCCATCATTTCAACTTGACAGGCTTTTAGCTGGCACTACTAATGATAACAGTAAGCATTTCTTTGCTGATTTGCTGAGCATTCAGAGTGTGACACATACATTATCTCAGTAAAAAATGGAAGTATCTCGACAGAAAATGTTCAGTGGTGCCTGCGCTCTGTATCACAAAGGCAAAGCTCACCACCACTGACACTGTGCTAATGCATCAGGAGGTCTCTTCTGCTTCCTTGACTCCCACCCCCTGATGTTAATGGCTAATGGGAGGTGTCTGTCAAGAGTGTTTCCTGGCAAGAAAGTTGGAGTTGGAAGAGGAGGCATGAGACGGAGGAAGAGAAAACATAACACGGATGTCAGAGGTATGGGAAGCCATGTGCCCTTAGGGGGAGGGGCAATTGTGCAGGCTCATCAGGGTGCCAACTTGAATAAAATATTGGGGGGGGGCAAGTAATCCCCAACCCACATAACTGATCACATGATGTGCTGCACAAACACCATTTGAATAGCAATGCCCATCAACTGGGGGCAGCCCCTTCAAATATTTTATTGGAGGAGTTGGCTCCTATCAGCCTCATTGTCCCTTGATTATGCTGCTTTATAAGAATAGCATGCAAAGGTGCTCTTGACTAACCTGTGTGCTCATTCTAAGACCAAATAGCCATCACACCAGCCTTCAACGATTTTATTTTCTCTGGAGTTTGGTACATCCGCAGTTGATTATTCATTGCCAAATCATTAATCTGAATTCTCACACAGGTTATCTCCACCTAAATTCCTATAATGGTTTAATAAATACAATCTTTCTTAAGAAAAATGAACCCTATTAATCTCCATATACCTTTTAGCCTGATGATTGTTCAGATTCTCCACTGTTAAAAATGCGACTGAGCAAGCTGTAGTCTCAGTTCATTTCCTGGGAGTGTGTACATAAACAACATTTATCACAATAAATACCAGTGTGTTCACATACTTGGCTGGTTCTATGGACTCCTGTTTTTTGTGCTTCAGGATCTAGGCAGAAGGCCTGGCTTTCTTATAAGATCTTCCTGAGATGTAGCTAGTGTGAGGAATTTTTAAAAACCGGGCTCCATTGCATAGACACTCATAGGGAATTCATTCTCTCGAGGGCTGATCATCGAACAGTCAAACTGGCAACATCTATGCACAAGAGGGAGGTATCAACAGATTTAGGGGAGCCCTAAGGTTCACAGAAGTAGAAACAAATAAACTTCTTCAAAAGCCAAGAGAAGGAAAGAAAACCCTGAGGACTGAGCATACTCAGTAGCCACAAGTGCTATTTGTTGGGAGCAGGCAGGATGAGAAGACCTATAACACTGATAAATAAATAGCTTGCCTCAAGGGGTCTATCAAGGCCACCTCATTTTTCCATTTTAGACATGCTGTGGAGCCCATTGCCAAACGCCATGCCTGTTTGCTAACCATTGCAACAAACATGTATTGTTGTTGAGGTTTTTTGTATTTGTATCTTAAGAAACCTAGAAAGGCCTATAAAGCTCTTTAGGCTGCAGGCACTCAAAAGGATTCTCAAAGTATCATTTGCTTGCACCATTTTGCTTGAGAGCCTGGATAGCTCAATAGCTGCAAGATTGCAGGTTTGATCCCCGTATGTGACAGCTGCATATTCCTGCATTGCAGGGGGTTGAACTAGATGATCCTCAGGGTTCCTTCCAACTCTACAATTCTATGGTACTATGAAACTTAATCATCATCATCATCATCATTTTATTATTTGTACCCTGTCCATCTGACTGGGTTGCCGCAGCTACTCTGGGCGGCTTGCAACATATATAAAAACATAATAATATACATTAAAAATGCTTCCTTTTTGTGTGTGTAAATCTGCCCAAATCAAATAAGTAAATTACAGTCATACCTTGGGTTACAGATGCTTCAGGTTGCGTTTCTTCGGGTTACAGACCGCCGAAAACTGGAAGTACCAGAACGGGTTACTTCTGGGTTTCGGCAGTCGCGTATGCTCAGAAGCACTAAATTGCACTTTGTGCATGCGCAGAAGCACAGAATCACAACTCATGTGTGCGCAGACGCGCCGCTGCGGGTTGCGGATGCTGCAGGTTGCAAACGTGCATCCCGCATGGATCACGTTCGCAACCCGAGAGTCCAATGTATAAGCAGAGCCCCCTACTCTCTACTCCCCAACAGCTGTAGCCTTTCCAGCTGCCTCATTCTGCCTCATTACATGGTCAGTTCTGAATTATGTCACAATGCAGGACTAGGCAGTTGCTTTCTGTTTGGCTGTCAAATCTTATGCAGGTAAGATATAGAAGGAAGGCCTATATTTGTTAATGTGGCACATGCCAGAACTGCACAGCAGCACAGGAGATAGCACAGTGATATTCTATGGTCCCATTATTAAGTAATTTCCCTGCTCTTATGATAATTGTGCAGCTACTGAGTGTGTCAGCACTCCAGGGTCCATTAATTGTACTCATAATGTTTATCATTCCAATTTCTGTCAGCCTATAACTTCGAAATCGCACATATTTAGTAACAGTTAAAGCAACACATACACATAGTACAAGAAAATGTTCTCACTTCATCAAAGCTGTTAGCTGCTTTCAAAATTATCTGGATGTTCTTGCCCAAGAAGAGACCTCAAAAACTGCCTCAGGAATTCAATTGTAGCAAAATTCAGTTGCATCCCTCAAATTGGAAATACTAAGAACTGAGTTGTGGCAACTTGTACATCAAGACTAGATCCTTCTCTAGTCTAGTCTAGAGTAGATGCCACAGACCAATTTGTAAAGAATCATAGTCGTGTTTCGAATTTGCCTCACAATAGCTGCGCTTCAAATCCCAGTATACAATTTTGAAAAGAAAAGAACAGATAACAAGGAAGAGACCATTGGCCCATGTTGTCAGTATAGATACCATGTTGTATTCCATATTGGGGCAAAGTTGGGAACTGGAAGCACTGAGATCCCAAACATCCTTTAATGAATTGATTAATGTTCAGCAACATTCAGAGGGCCATGATTTTCCACACCTGATACACAATGTCAAGGCAGGTTCTTCCCCATGTCATATTAGCTTTATAGAAATACTTTGCAGGACTCTAGCTTAGCTCTCACCTTTGGGTTTCTGTTTTTGAGAGCTGCACATGCCATTGTGAAAAAGATCCAACTGCCTTGGAATCTTGGGAGATTCAAAGCTATTCATGGGTCGGTGTGCTGGACCGCTCTGAGAAATTTTCCCTGACTTCTTCAACCTGTTTTGGCTCCCCACACAATTCTGTAAATGTTTCTCATCGAAAGGGGACTCCCACCCCACATTTACTTAATTTAAATATTGATGAAGTATAGGTGGCAGTTCCAGTTTGGGCAGAGAAGATCATCTTCTACATTTTGTGCATGCTTTCTATTTCAAGCTGTAAAGCGATTTATGGTAATACTGTATGGGAGCAAGCAGAAATGTTATGCACTGAGGGTGGTGTTCAAGCTTTTAACATCTGTGCGAGCATGGAAAATCATACATGATTAATTTATTTTCTTTATGTCTCCATACTCTTCTCAGAAAGCACGGTTCGCCTGCTTCACTGTATTAAGAGGCAGAAATGCTGCAATTCTTTACAATCAAAGCAGGTGTAACCAGACTGTTAAGGGAAATTTCTCAGCATCCCCTGTACAGCTGCCCAGTCAACCGGTCAACCAGTCAGGCATGCTCAATTTTTACAGCTCCTGCAGCAAACAACAGCTACGCCCACAGCATTAGATGTTGTGTCAAGCAGTATGTTTTGGCTGTGTGCAGGTGGCACACTGCGACATGCTACAATCTGAGGCCTTTTTTTTTTTTTTTACTCCAGTGAGGTTTGAGAAAGAAGACCCTAAATGTTTAAAATGCTTTTATCCATGGAATTATAGGAGTAGGGAACAGGGAGGAAAAAATGAGAAGGAAACATTACACGAGCGACATGCAAAATCTGTTCTTTTCTGCCTTCCCACATTCTAGTACCTGCCATGGCTATGGCTAGCTTTCCCCATATCTAGACCCAGAAGCCTTCAGAGGGAAGGGGAGAGAAAGCAAGAATGGAGTAAGCCAAGGGTCCTGCTCTGTTGACCAAGCAGGTCAAGAGCCTCTGAATGTCTTTACCAGGACTAGCCAATATAAGCAGCAGTGGCTGATGTGGTTGGGTGGACCCACTCTCACTACAGTGGCATCACTGCAGCTCACCTGTATGGAGATGTAGTGCAGTGGGTAGCAAGGAGAATAGGGCTTAGGGGATGAACTGACAGCTGTTCCAGAAGTGCTGCACTGGTGCAGCTGCACAGCCCTCGGTAAGCTTCAGGAAGTGTTGGGATGGCACTGCCCCAGTTGAAGTTCCTTGAATTGTTTCTGATGAGGTAAAAGGTAAAGGTAAAGGACCCCTGGATGGTTAAATCTGGTCAAAGGTGACTATGGGTTTGCGGTGCTCATTTTGCTTTCAGACTGAGAGAGTCCCCGTTTGTCCACAGACAGCTTTCTGGGTCATGTCGCCAGCATGACTAAACCGTTTCTGGCACAACAGAACACCGTGACAGGCACTACAGTGCCCAGAAACACTGTTTACCTTCCTGCCGCAGCGGTACCTATGTATCTACTTGCACTGGCATACTTTCAAACTGCTAGGTTGGCAGGAGCTGGGAGAGAGCAAAAGGAGCTCACTCCGTCGTGGGGATTCGAACCGCCGACCTTCTGATCGGCAAGCCCAAGAGGCTCAGTGTTTAGACCACAACGCCACTTGTGTCCCATGCTTTTTGATGAGAACCCTATATGAAAACAAGGTGCTGCCCTCCCACAGGCTGAAGATGGACGTACCAGTCCATCAGCACACCAAGGCAGCTCAGGGTAAAATAATCTCTTGGGCTACTGATTACCTTAACCTGAGGTAATCTGTTGTTTGCATCTGACTGCCTCAACAGACAATGGAGTGCACCTTAGGGGCTGAAGTCAAACTACTGGAGATTCATAGTATCTGCTGTGGCTGCAGAGACCGGTAACTTATAAATGCTGCCTCCTGTGTTGTTTTTCTGTATTCGTGGCACCAAAGTGATCTCTCCATTGTGCAAGACTGATTAGTGTGTATGGAGGTCCTGGGCAGCCCAAATGAAAAGACACTCTCCCCCTTGGCCTCAATGATGTGGTCCAAAGGAAAGCAGAGCAATACATTTGGCACCAGCTTGGCTGCAGGAGTTGCCAGAAGGAAGCGTACAAGGTGCCATTCAACCAACTTAGGGACTCTACTCCAGATTTGTGTATACCTTAGCCTTTTCTTTTCCCAAAGATGTGCTACAACACAACATATGCACTTTTTCCTCAAGGTTTACCCCCAAAGACTTGAATGTGTATGGCTGCAGTGCTGTGGAGGTAATCCCACCTTTGTTAACTGTGTAAAAGGAAAGACCTATGAAAAGCAAATTAAATTGGTTGTATGAGTACCTGGATCAGGGAGTTTGTGAAGGCCTATCTTAAAACATACACAGTGGATTCTCCGAGCCACAACATGAAGCACCTGATGGGCTGATTAATAGTTTTTCAAAAGTTGCAGAACAAACTCCAGCGACATCCAGAGACAGTGAGACTGGTTTCTTACAAGGCTTGTGGAAGTTGGCAAATGCAAATGATTATTCTACCTACACAAGAAATGAAACTGCAGCAGTCACCTGCGAGGGATGATGTGTCAAAATTTAATGGAGCTCTGAGAAACCATATTCTACACTGAGAATGTGTGTTATGTGTGGCCCTCACTATACACTGTTGCCGTGGGCTACCTTGATTGCCCTCTCACCAGCCTCTGCTCTGAAAGGCTGTTCAGCACAGATGGGAGGATTGCAATAGACAGAAGAACTTGCCTGTCTGTGTAGATTGTCTGTATCTTATCATTTAGCTACATAAATCAATCCTGGATACCAAGAAGTGCCTTCAGCTTCTTTCCCTTGGCCAAGACTTTCCAACAAAGAGGTGCATGTGCAAGATGCAACAGCAGAAGACATGGAGCCATGGGTCCTTCAAAGGGCAGTTTTTGAAGGCTATACTTGGCCACAATGAACTGAATAGTGGACTTAGAGAAATGAATAAATACGCTGCAGTCTTCACATAAGCATTTCAGTTCAATGCACAATCAAATGAAATGTGTGATTTAAACACTGTTTATTATCTTCAGCAGTTGCTTAATCATAGTAGACATGCACTCCCTGTCTTCTTCCTTTTTTTAAAAAAAAAATGTTGTTGTTTAGTCGTTTAGTCATGTCCGACTCTTCGTGACCCCATGGACCAGAGCACGCCAGGCACTCCTGTCTTCCACTGCCTCCCGCAGTTTGGTCAAACTCATGCTGGTAGCTTCGAGAACAAAAAAACCTACTATAGTTCAAAAGAGTGGGAAAGGAAATAGGTATACAAACATTTAAAAACAAACAAAGAAACAAACTATCCTAGCTGCTCTTGCCTTCTTAATCACATTCAACGCAAACTAAATTTCTTTACACTGTTTAAAATTGCCTGGCTAGGCATTCTTTCCCCCACCCCAAATGAAAAGAACTTGGAGGAGAGTTCATTTTTTTCAACCAGAGCATTTTTGCCCTCTACAAGTGAATCGCTTTTACAATGTTGCACCTGAACCACCTTCTGAGCCCTCCTGAGCGTTCCCTACCTGCTGTCTTCTGTTGCAAAGAGAAAAGAGGGCAGGGAGGTTTAACTCTGGCACAGCAATCCCACACGAAAATTGTCAATAAATTTGCAAAGTGCTCAGTGCAACTTAAGTCCTGATTGTGTTGAATTATACTTACTGGATCTTTTTTTCTTGGAGAAGAAATGGCGTTCAGGGTAAAGATGGACAGCTGGGTCTGTAACCATGCCTGAGTCAGTTTCACATGTATTGCTTGCAAAGTCTATTTCCATCCCGTTTCTTCAATGGGGAAAAAAATGTGCAGTGAAAAATCAAAAACACATTTTTAAATGTGTCTTCTTTCAAATAACACATTTCTAAATATAGTTTATCTTCAGCTATTGATTACGATATACACATTTGCAAAAATGTAGAGATGCTTCAAAAGATTGCAACACAGGAGAGCCATGTACGAGTTTATTACACTGGATATATAACTTGGCTGCCGGATTCTAAATTGTAAGAATTACTAAGAATGAGAATCTGGTCCTTAACTGCCACAGTGTTTCTTGTTCCTCACACCATGGCATAGGGTGCTGTCTGTATAATACTGTGCAATACATCAGGATTAATGGATCAGCCTATTTCCATTTCATGTCAATTTCACATACGTTCAGTTGCAACACCATTGCAGTCTGTTTTCTGTGGGTGTTTTTTTTAAACTGTGTGGAAAAAGCTTCATTTATCTTCCATGCATTTTTTTTGTACACTATTGTTTCTAAAATATGCTTCTTTTGTATGCATTTCCCCCTAATAAAACACTTTTTATATGATTTTCTGTGCATGTCCCCTTAAAATATGCATTCCCTCCCTCATAAAATATGCATTTTTATGTATGCTGTATACGTTGCTTGAAGTGGAAATGCATTGCAACATGTGGAGAACTGTGCACTTTGATTGTTAACTGCATATAAGCCTGGGAGATGCAAGATGCTTCACTTTAATTTGTGGATTATTGTTCATCCCTCCCACTACAGTAGCACTTTCTCCTACTTTGGACTAGTCTTGCTGTGGCAACCTTGCCCAAAAGGCCACTGAAACCTCTCTGACCCATTGATGTTAATCATCATCATCATCATCATCATCATCATCATCATTAAAAAAAAAATTATACCCCACCCATCTGGCTAGGTTTCCCCAGCCACTCTGGGGAGCTCCCAACAGAATCTGAAAAACACAATAAAACATCAAACATAAAAAAACTTCATTTTCATGGCCCAGTATAGCTGAAGGAACGTCACTATCACCATCGTTCAGCCCAGACACTGAGGTCCAGCTCCGAGGGCCTTCTGGCAGTTCCCTCAGTGTGAGAAGTGAGGCTACAGGGAACCAGACAGAAGGCCTTCTCAGTAGTGGCACCTGCCCTGTGGAACGCGCTTGCATCAGGTGTCAAGGAAATAAACAACTATATGACTTTTAAAAGACTTCTGAAAGCAACCCTGTTTAGGAAAGTTTTAAATGTTTGATGTTTTATCTTGTTTTTAATATTCTGTTGGGAGCCGCCCAGAGTGGCTGGGGAAACCCAGCCAGATGGGCGGGGTATAAATCATCATCATCATCATCTTCACCATCATCATTTCTTTCCATCAGCTGTCAAGCAATTAAAGGAGCTTTGGGAAATCTTTTTGGGGCTGGCACCCAGGACAAATAACTCATCTGACCACTTAGATAGCTGAGGCATGATTTCAGATGAGGCAAGCTGGAACTAGCTGCAACAACCCACACAGCTGTAGGCTGCTGCAGGGCATTGGCAAATGCTTTGTCACTGCATGGCTACCTGAAGAGATCTATCTGGAGGGCTTCTGTTTGTTTCTTCCAACTGCTAGCACCACCTAGAGCAGGCTGGCAGAAGCAACAACGTTCCGGTTCCCTCATTTGTTTCATGCGACCAAACTCAGCGCAAGATCATGCGACCGAGGACAGTTGGCTTCCAACGCCATCTGAAGCAGCTCAAAAGACATATTCAAAATAGCAGAGGACATGTTTCATTATATAGTCACGCTGGCACAGAGAGTGATGACAAGGCTGGCCGCATAAAGGAATGAGCCAGGTGGACAGATGAATATTGGAGGGAGAGATCAATAAAGCAAAGTCTGGTCGGGTAAGCAAAAATGCGAGCCAAGGCAGCTGACATTTACAGACAGATATGCAGACAGACAGCTAATAGGCACACAGAGCCCGTCAGCCCCAAGTTGCATTATCTAGTGTGTGTGACTCAAAAATGAGGCATTTTGGTTTGATTTTGTTCCCTATTACTCCATTTTCAAAGATGCCATGAGGATTGATTTTTCTTTTGTTTCTGGGTTTTCCATCAACATACCTCAACGAGTGCAATTCATATTATTTTGCTTGTATGTATGGATTTAGAAAAATGCAAAAGCCATGATCCTGCTCCCTCTCTCTATGGAAATAAATGGGGTGGAAGAGATCCTTATTTTATTCTGGCATGTGCCCCTTCATAAGCAAAATGCAATAAAAAGAACTTCTTTCTTCCAGCAATCATAACATTAAAAAAAGAAGAATGAAAAAATAGGAGTATAAACACAGGCCCACCATCCCATATGAAATTCATATGAGAATTGTCTCCATTTTATTACAACACGTAGGTTTTTAAACAAATATTTCAGGGCACAGCAAACATCAGGTTTATAGCAGTCATGGCTTTCCCAAAGATTTGTGGGAGCTGCAGTTTCGTGAGGATATTGAGAATTCAAGTTCCCTATCCCAACTCATAGAACTGCAATTGTCAGGGTTCTTTGAGGAGATGGAAGGCTTATTAAACTGCCTTGGTATTTTTCCTGAAATGAAAGACAGTATATAAATTATTTTAATAATAATATGTTTTTTTTTGTTTTTTGTTTTTTTAAATAATTTTTATTAAGGTTTTAAACAAAGAAAAATGAATAACAACACACACAAAGAACAATAACAATAAAAACACAAAACATAACAATTAAAAACAAACTCTCTTTTCCATTTCCAATTTTAAATTACTTATTTTCTGGACTTCCTCATACCTCCCTCTTTTGTATTCCAATCCACATTATTTATCCAGCAGTTTCTTTTCCACTTTTTTAATCCCAATCTTTAATTTAATAAAATATTAAAATATATAACTTCACTTTTTAAACCTAATCCTTACTCTTAATGTCATATAGCTTCAAATTTTTCCCTTTTATTATCAAATTTCCATTTCTTTAAACATCTTTAATCTTAATCTTTAATCTTAATCTATCCTTATCTTTAACCTGTACAACTGGAAACCACTTATTTTCAGTCCAACATCACTCTAACATTCCTTAATTTTGCAGTGTTTCTGAAGATAGTCTTTGAATTTCTTCCAGTCTTCCTCCATCGACTCTTCTCCCTGGTCCCGGATTCTGCCAGTCATTTCCGCCAATTCCATGTAGTCCATAAGTTTCATCTGCCATTCCTCCAGCGTGGGAAGTTCTTGTGTCTTCCAATACTTTGCGATGAGTATTCTTGCTGCTGTTGTTGCATACAATAATATGTTTTAATAATAAACCAGTTTAAGCCTATAGTTAGGGCTGGATTAACCTATCTATTTCATTTCCTCTCATTTCCACATTTTCCCAGTCTTAAATTCAGCTTTACTCGGTTTCTCAAAAGACCACTTGAATTTTTCTCTTTTCTCTGCTTGTAATTCCCCCTAAGGTATGTAAGCAGTTTCTCCAATATACATAGTTTGGCAAGCAGTTTCCCAATATACATAGTTTGGCAAGCAATTTCTCCTAATGTGATACATTTTAAAAACATACTTTCCTTCAATATAAGGTTTTTATATGCTTTTTTTTGTTGTTGTTGACGAATTGTATTACAAAGTTCAGAGGAGTGT